AATAAAGATACCTGTTTTGCCAACAAAAATCTCATTTTTATTTTACATAACTGGGGTGGGGGGAGGGAGGAGTGAGGGTGGGAGAGGAGAGGGGAAACCTGGGAGGGGAGAAGGGAGCTAGAAGGGGGGGAAGGGGAGGAAGGGAAGGGAAAGCTCAGGGTTCGGGGTCTTGCTGACTCTCCCGTCTCACAGCACTGCGGGTGTGGGGGCATTGGGGGTGAGTGGGTGTGGAGGGTGGGGCAGGAGGGAAAGGGGGTGCGGAGGAAGCGGGAGGGGGAGCAGGGGTGGGAGGAGGAGCAAGAGCTGGGATGGCCACAGGGGATGGAGCAGGAGGAGGCAGGAACCTGTCCACCAAGGTCTGGAGGTGACCTGTAAGGGCACAGCCCTGCTCCTCCAGCACCTCCAAACTCCGCTGCCACAGCCGCAGGTCCTCCCGGACCCAGTGGTCCTGGGTGTGGAGCTGGTGCTCCAGGAGCCAGAGGTGCCACCACTGGCACTCCTCCTGGTGCCTGGTGCGCCTACTGGCCTGGGTGCAGGTGGCTGTTGCAGGCGGGGTGGTGCACCCTGCAGTCCCAGGTGCTGTGGCTGTGGTGAAACAAGAGCAGTGGTCAATTCTCCCTGGAGACAAGGTGGGTGAAACCCAGACCCCCTCTTCAAGGCCAGGGCCCCTGCATGACATCCAGCTGCTGCTCCATGGTGGGCAAGGCCCAGGCGCACAGTCCCTGGGCTCCCTCTCCCTCCAACCCCCCCGTACACATAAGGGGAGTATGATGGTACTCACAGGTGGAGGCCTCCCCGGCCTCGGACGACACAAGTGAGGTGGTCTGTGGGGTTCCTCGGGGGTCCTGGGTCCTGGGTCCTGGGCAGGCTCCCGGCAGGCTCCTGGCTCGCGGCATCCTCCGGCTCCTCCTCCTCGGTGTCCAAGACGGGTCCCTCTGCCCCGGGGTCGATGACCACCCGGGGGGCATGGACGGCGTGAGCCTCAGAATGCGGTCCAGGGCCTGAAAGTGGGGGCAGG